TCCAGCTCCACGAAAAGGAAACTTCTGGAAGGGATGAGTAGGGACCCCTTACCTTCCAATCCCTCCCTGTCCCAGGGGCGGATTTAGGGGAGACGTTTGCGGAGCTCAGGGTCGTTCGTTTAGAGTTGAATTTGCAGCTGTGCCTCTGGACCTTAGTCTCCCTGAGTCCCCGTGACACTAGATTAGCCTTTTCAAAAATAATAAAATCACAGGATAATGTTAAGTGCTATTTTTGTTGTGAGGGGGCAGTGATATTCTTTCCAGCTTTGTGCATCCTGATCTGCAACTGGAGAACCTGTCTTGATTCAAGAAATAACATTGCAATGATGTGTGTGCCTCTGTGCCATTATTTCCATTGAGTAAACTTAGATACATTTTTGGGTCAAAATGTACATGTACTTTAAATTTTGGTAGGTACTGCCGAATAGCTTTGTAGAGAGGTTTATACACCCCTACTCACAATTGTATAGTATTTGCCTTCCCTGCTCTTGCTAACAGTGCTTCCTGTAATAAGTTCCCAGTAAAGGTGGGGGTGGCATTGCCAATCTAAGCCAAAAGGGCCAAATATCCATACACTAAAAGTTTTGTTCCCTTTGACTTCAATCATGCATTCATTCATTTAATAAATTTTATTGAACTGCTAAGAGCCACAGCAGACACTGTTGATAAGAGCATTGAATGAAACAGATAAGGGATCTACCTTTGTGGAGTTAGTTTCTAGTGCGTGAGATGAAGATAAAGAACAAATAAAACATATGTAGATGGTTCTATGGCAAAAAAACAACAACAAAACGGAGTGTTGGAGTTCAGGGTATTTTGCTTTACAGATATGTGGGTGAGGGAAGGTACCGAAAGTGGCAATTGAGCGAAAGAGTAGTGAATGAGTGGGATACTCGGTTAGGGAAGAGGGCTCCAAGCAGGGGAAACAGTAAGCATACAGGCCTGGAGGTAGGAGCAGAGTTGGCTGGCCTGATAGTGTGGTTGGAGTGGAGAGAGCAGGGAAAAGTTGTAAGACATGAGATCAGAGAGGTAATGGGTGTGGTGGTGGCTTGTAGGCTATTGTCATATTTATGTTAAGTAGGAAACCACATTTTGGAAAGGTACTGAACGGTTTCAGTAGAAAAATAAACTTAAAATTTTCTTCTTACCAAGGATGTAGTAAAGCTTAATAGAGCTCTACTGTTTGAAAAAATTTCCAGTGCCTTGACCATACTTTTACTTTCTTGTTCCTACTTCTTTCCTTTTCTTTCTCTCAGCTGTATCTGGTCCAAGAGATAGTCTCTGCTTATTGAGGTTTAAATGAATAGCAAGCAATCAGTGGTAAAAATCAAAGGAAGAAAACCTGGTTATCTATTATATGTTTTAGAAATTCAAATTCAGAAAGACAAAGCCATCTATAAACATTTTAAAGGAATATACATTTTCAGGATTGAGAAGAATGTCCTGGCTATTGAGTGGATGTTGAACATGCTGACATTACTAGATTGGATTTAAGTAGCAATTGTTTTTTCAGACTATTGGATCGGGTGGATTCTTGGGAAAATCAATAGTGTATTGTCCTTTGAATTTCTTCTTATGAACATGTAAAACACAGCAACAGGAGAAAAAGGGAAATAAAGGGTCAAACATGTCAATTGATCTAAAATCTACTTGGGAAACTGAAACTTAAGTAATAAGTAGGTATTCCTCAAGTTTCAGAATAAACACTCATTTTTAATGGCTCTTCCGGAAAATAGATGTAAGTCAGAGTTTCTCAGCCTTGGTACTATTGACATTTAGGCTGGATAATTCTTTGCTGTGGGAAGCTGTCCTGTGCATTGCAGGATGTTTACCCAGCATCTTTGCATATACCCACTAGATGTCAGTAGAGCCCTGCAGTTGTGAAAACTAACATTGTCTCCAGATGTTGGCTAAAGGCAACTTCCTTTTGCCCTGAGAACAGAATCCTCCTCTTCCCTCTTCCCTTCCCTCCACCTCAGCTGAAAAACATTGCTACATATAATGCCCTCATATATACTCCTAATTGTTTTATTTTATTTTTTTATTTTTTTATTTTTTTTTTATCCTCACCCGAGGACATTTTTCCATTTTTTGTACAGAGTGGGAGGGAGAGAGAGGAAGAGAGAGAGAGGGAAACATCGATGTGAAAGGGACACATCGAGTGGCTGCCACCCGCACGACCAACCAGGGCCGGGGACAAACTGCAACCGAGGTACATGCCCTTAGCGGGAACCGAACCCGGGTCTCTCCGGACCGCAGGCGGACGCTCTAACCGCTGAGCCAAACTGGCCAGGGCTACTCCTAATTGTTTTAAAAATTAGTTTTCACAGCACAGCCTGCAAGAGCTAGGAGGTGAACTTAGGTAGGAGAGAAAAAGTTGAATACAGATTAATTCAGTGTTAGAATTCAGGAAGAGGCCAGGGTGAAAGAATGGACATCAAGGGGAATGTAATGGAAGGCATACTCCCTTGAGCATGGGACTCCAGAGTGGAGGTGTCTGTGTCACATTTGGTCTGGCTGGGGACAAGATGCAGAGCTGTGGACACACACTGAAGGTGGCTAATTCAAGGTGGAGCAAGATATAGGGTAGATTCGGTCCTTAGTCCCAATACAGTTTCACCTCTAGCAGCACCATGACAATGGAGATATTGGTGGCCAGGGTGATCCCCAAGGAGCTGTAGCCTGCAATGTAGATAGCAATTAGGAAAGACCTGGGCTAGGATACCTATCACAGTAGTAAATGGCAGAAGCTGTTAACTTGGACGGATCCCTGGGCACTTTGAGAAATCTTGAGTGGCAGGATCTCTAAATAAGGATAACTGCAGTCCTGTCAGTTAGTTATGTGAGGGTAACAAACTCCTGAAATTCAATTATCCATTTAAAGAGACCTCTTGGCAATTCCTGGAGATCTTCATGTATAAGCTCAGTAATAGTATTTTCTATACCAGAGAATATCTATTTTTCTGGATTTGCTGCTTATTGTTTCTCTCTGCAAGCATTCAAGCTATCCCACACTTTAATTTTACTGAGCTCTTTCAGAGCTGGGAAGGATGGAACACAGAGATGGTATTAGGTCATAAAACACACTAATGATGTCCGGCTGGTGTGGCTCAGTGGTTGAACGTCGACCCATGCACCAAGAGGTTGCCGGTTCGATTCCCAGTCAGGACATATGCCCAGGTTGTGGGTTTGATCCCCAGTGGCAAGCATGCAGGAGGTGGCCAATCTATACTTTCTGTCATCGACGTTTCTATCTCTCTCCCTCTTCCTTCCTCTATCTCTCAAATCAGTAAAGAAAAAAAAAAAAAGTTAAAAAAAAAAAACCACACTAACGAACCCTGTTCTCTGGAGATTATCAAACACATATCACAGGAACACATTACATAATCCAGAGACTTATAGTGTATTAATGAGCTCTCCTTTCTGGGTGCAAATGATGCATAGCAATTCCTGGGAAGAGTTACCTAATGGAGAATCAACCAATCCAACAATTATTTAGTTTTAATGTTTCTGACTCTGGGAGAGTTGGCAGTGGTTAGATTTATCTTAGCACCACACAGCCTCCCTCTCTCCCAAACTCAGTGTTTTCAGAGAACTGCGTGGATTGCCTTTCTCTGTTGTTAGTGGGAATGGGTTTCTTAGAACGCTGCTGGAATAAGCATTTCTGGAGGCCCCTATGGGAGAATGAGATATGGTAAAAAGCTTTATTTGTGTAAAGTTACATTCCTTGGTTTGCAAAGTCCCATTTTCCTTAAACCAGTCCTGGAAAATATGCAGCTGTGGATTCAGCAGAGCCAGAAGTAGGGCCAGTGTCCAGAGTTTCCATTCCATGGTGGAGTTGAGTCCAGCAGTGTCACAGTCTATTGGTCCATTGTGTGGGGGGTCCACATGGCTGTGGGACACATGGGCAAGTGGAGGAGTGGGACAGCCCCACAAGTCAGGAGTCAGGTGCAGCAGTAAGAGTGCAAGAGAGAGAACTCCCTTTGTTTAGCGGTTTAAACATCAAATCTTCCCTTGCTTGCAGTGGCCATGACTATTCTGGCCAATGATTCGTTCCCAGTTGTGATTGACAGGCAAGCATCTTCTCTCATCACCCAGACCTTACTGGGCATGCTTCTAAACTGCCTCTGTCCCTCCAGTCCCTTCCCCCGTGGATCTGTGGGGAATAGTCCTGGAGAGTGTTAAACTGCAGCTTCCTGGCAAAACTGTACAAATGGCATGCCTGTATTATCTGGCCTTCCCTTTGCTCCTTTCCTGTTAATTAATAACCAGGCTATCACAACAGTAAGGTATTTTGTGAAATCTAATACATCTCTAGTTTTAGTGATAAGAAAGTACGAAAGATTGCTTCTGTATAAGTCTGATGCCTCCCCTCACTGACAGAAATTTTACTCACTCTAATTCCTATAAAATTTCAATAGCAATTCAAAGCCCAGCCCAATATTCCTTGTGGACTTGTATTCTCATGGATTTAGGAGTTCCCACCAAGAAGTGAAGGGAACCTAGAAGCTGGTTAATATACAAAAGGATTTTCCCCAAAGATTTTCTCTGGAGGAAGTATGGCTGTACCAACAACTAATTTCAGTCCAATGAAACCCATTTCAGACTTCTGACATACAGAACTTTCAAATAACAAATCTGTGTATTTTTAAGCCAGTAAGTTTGTGGTAATTTTTTTACAGTGCACAATAGGAAATTAATATATTCTCCCCTAAAACATATACAGCAATAAAAAAAAATGACATTGCTTTCTTATTTTTTCCTTTTAAAAATATTATTTGTTGTAGATTACCTTTCAATAAAATGTCATAATCAACGGTGATTGCCACAAGTGATCTTACAGATCATTTAGCATATTTCATATTTCTTTCTTTTTTAAAATATTTTTTATTGACTTTTAAAGAGAGGAAAGGAGAGGGAGAGAGAAGCATTGATGTGAGAGAAACTTCTATTGGCTGCCTCCTGCACGCCCCCTACTGGGGACTTAACCCACAGTCCGGGCATGTGCCCTGACTGGGAATGGAACACCTGACCTCTTGGTGCATGGGAGGATGCTCAATTCACTGAGCCACACCAGCTGGGCTGTTTCATATTTCTTGATCTAATTATATAAATAGCAGCAATTGACCGAATAAATAATGTTTCAAACAAACTAGCAGAAATCAAGAGAAACTATTTGGAACAGCTGACAAGAAATTAAATTTCAAGTATCTTCATGAAGAAACCTGACCTTTGATTGATTGTGTCATTGTTTTACTGTCTGTCTCTCTCACTAGACTGTAAACTATATGAGGTTTGGGCAAAATGTCTGGTTCTTTGTTTTTTCTTTTTCACTGAAGGAGTAGAATATGCCACCCCCAAGATGCCACATAATTTTGAGCTGAAGGCAGTTGAGAAGCAGATATAAAAAAGCTCTCTCCCATCACCCATCTGTGTAAAAGTAGCACATAAATCCATGAAGGTGTCCCACCTCCCCTGCCAGGAAAGACAAGTGAATCACCTGCAACAACTCACTTAGCCCAGTCACTACCAAAGGCATCTACATAACAAACCTTACTAACTAGCAGCTGTCTTCCAGTAGTTTTCCCCTTCCTACAATTCGGCACCCTAGAAACTCAAAAGTTCTTTTTCTTTGTCTTATCACTTCTCTGAAAATTCATTGTTTTTTTGTTAAGATGTTATATAAGCCCAAGATCTAACCACCCCTTTAATGGTGAGTACTCCTCACTGGATATTGCCACCAGTATGTGAAATGCACATCTTAATGAACTTTTGTTTGTTTTTCTCTTGTTATTCTGTCTTTTCTTAGTCTAATTTATGAGGCCCCAGTCAAGAAACCTAAGAGGGGTAGAGAAAAAGGATTTTCCTTACATCACCATAATATATTTGGTATCTAGCACTGAAAACTATGTGTTGATCAAATGAATGATTCATTTTACTTTATGTAAGTACAGTGTTTTATTTGTTGCAAATCTACTTAACAAAATGTTTTCTACTATATAGCATTCACAGAGAAAAGGTACATCTCTTTCTTACACAGAGACATGTGTAATCTGTTTCATTTTCTGAATACAGGTAGTATTTTATCAGTTTTGAGTAATTGTTCAAAAATTACATGTTTCTGAAAGCAGCAAGCAGAAACGATGATTAGTACACATTAACATAAAATCAAATGAAATGTGAAAGTGGGCCATATTTCAGCACCTAAGGGACATGTCCCACACACTTCTCACTCATTAGCCAGCCTCAGGGCCTGCTCATAACACTCCAGGGCTTTGTTCATTTCTCCTTTCAGTTTGTAGATGAACCCAAGGATGCTCAAGCTTTCTATGTCCTCTGCATTTCTTCGATGTTTCTTTAAAATTAATTTCTCCAAACTAGTGATACTTCTATCTCTTACTACTGTTGGCTTTTCAATTTTTATTGCTTTCAAATAATAGATCATTGCACTGACTTCAGATTTCCTTTGAAATTCCTGATATCGACCGTGGTGGAGATATAACTCTTGCAGTTTTTCATCTTCAAGTGGTGTCATGCGGAACACTTTTTGATAAAGATCATCAGTTTTTGCGTAGTCGCCTGCTTCTATGTACATATCTGCTAGGTGTATATAAGCAATGTCAAATGTTGGCTTTTGTTCCAGAGCAAATTCAAAATGAGATATGGCTAATCTGGTTGTTTTGTTGATGTTTTCTCTGTCCTGTCCTCTAGGCTGCCAATTTGCCGTTTTCTTCATTTGAATAACTTTTGCTCTATAGCAAAGCCCTATCTGGTGATGCAAGAAGGCAGAGGAGGGTGTTGCCCGCAAAGCGGTTTTTAAGAGCTGAAGAGCTTTTTCTATAGAACCTTTTCTTCGATAAAACTTGGCCGCATATCGTAAGACATAGGTCTGTGAAGATGTGTCGGTCAGTGCTTTTTCAATGTACTTTTCTCCCTCAGCTTCTCGATTGAAATCCTGCAGCTTCAAGGCAAGGAGAGCCTTAATATATGCATCTTCTGGATTTAGCCTGACGGCCCGTTCTAGGGGCTGCAGACAATATGCCTCATCGATCTGTGATGTTTTGGTAAAGCCATCCAGACGATACATAACAATTGCATAGCCAGTGTTGAATTCAGGGTTTTCAGGGTCCACTTCCAGAGCCTTCTCAAAGCAGGCTTTAGCCCGTTCATAATTCTTTCCTCCACATTTCAGCAAGGCCCATCCTTCCTCACTGTCCATCTCTGGACTCTCCATTGTGTAGCAGGAGGGACTGGCAAACTTCTTGCAAGTGGCCTCCACCTTGTCCAGGTAAATCTGGGCGTCTGGCAGTCTGCCCATGTGGTAGTACAGCCAGGCATAGTTGCCCCAGTTGACCAAACTGCTCACATCTGACTGGTCGGCGTGTTCTGTCTGGATTAAGTCTTCAGCTTCTTTCAAACACTCCAGGGCTTCCTTATTCTGACCTTTCAGGTGTTTCACATAGGCCAGTAGGTTGTGTATTCCCACATTGAATTTTGTGTCTAGGAAATCAATCTCATCGAAGACCCTGTTTTCTAAATCAGGCAGTTCAGTGTCTTCAATCAGCAACTTCCATGTAAAGTGACATCTCAATTGCTCCAGCCTAGCTTTGATCTGATCTTCATCAGCATTTTTACTATGGAAACAAAAGCAGATTTTTTAAAATCTTTACCCAAGGATATTTTCCCACTTCAGATAGAGTGGGAGGAAGGGAGGAAGAGAGAGAGATTCATTGATGGGATAGAGACACATGGACTGGTTGCTTCCCTCACAACCCTGACCAGGGCTGGGGGCTGAACTGAAAGCAAGGTACGTGCCCTTGACCAAAATTGAACTCGCAACTCTTTGGTCCATGGGCCGATGCTCTAACCAATGAGCCCAACTGGCCAGGGCAAGCAGATTTTCTTTGTTAGGTGAGGAATAGATAATGGAAAGAAGCCAAATAAAATACTTCATATCTATAGCTTAGTCTTGAAAAGGACATACCTGCCTTGATTTTCTAAATTTCTCTACAGTTGACCCTTGAGCAACATGGGTTTTAACTGGCTGGATCTACTTGTACCTGGAATTGTTTCAATATAGTTGCCCCTCCCTATCAGAGGTTTCACATGCAGGGATTCAACCAGTTGTGGAGGGAAAACTGTATATTTGCATTCCCAAATGGGGATGAAAAATATTCCTGTTTTTGATCTATGGTGGGTTGAATCCTCAGATGCCAAGGGTTGACTATAGAGTTTTTGACTGTGTAGGGATGGGGGATTGGGGTGGGGTTGGCATCCCTACCTTCCTCATTGTTCAAGGGTCAATTGTATTTCTAACAACTGTATGAAGTTTGAATATAATTTGCTTACCTCCATAGGCTGGCTCCAGCACTTTTTATCCAAGTAATCTTTTTATGCTTCAGAATCCCATTTGTGAAATGGGAATAATAATACTTATGACAATGGGTTTGGTGAGGATTAATAAGTCATATATGTAAAGCATAGAGCATATTGTGTGCTATATAAGAGTCCTGACCCTGGCTGGGTAGCTCAGTTGGTTAGAGCATCTTCCTGGTATTCCAAGGTTGCTGGTTCAATCTCTGGTCAAGGCACATATAAGAATCAACAATGAATGTATAAATAAGTGGAACTGGAACAACAAATTGATATTTCTCTCTCTCTCTCAAATCAATAAATAAAATTTAAAAAAAAGAGTTTTCTATTTTCATATTAATATAATTTAGATAGAGCCCAGGTAGAAATGTAGAACTTCAGGACTTAGTCTGCAGGTTATGCAACAAATAAGACCACCTAAAAAAAGATAATTTTGACCAATTATTTTTTCCACTTACTATTTGGAAATAATTATAGATTCACAGAAAGTTGCAAAGGTAGTACACACTGTCAGTGTACCCTTCACCCAGTTTCTCCCGATGATTATATCTTATACAGCTATAGTACAATATCAAAATTAGGAGATTGGAATTGGTAAATATGTGTATAGTTCTATGTCACTTTATTACATGAGTAAATCCATGGAACTACCACCTCAATCAAGATACAGAACTATCCCACCACCCCAAAGATCCCCCTATACTATCTCTTTATAGTCACATATGTCTCCTCCTTCCCTCCCCTGAAATCCCTAGCCTCTGAGAGCCACTAAGTTGTTCTTTATCTCTATAATTTTGTCATCTCAAGAGTGTCGCATAAATGGAATCCTACAGTATGTGACCTTTGGAGATTGGCTTTTTTCATTCATCATTGACACTTTAGTTGTTTCCAGTTTGGGCCTATTACAAATAAACTGCTATGGACAGTTGTATATAAGCTTTTGCCTGTATAAACAAAAACAAACAAAATAAATTTTCACTTCTGAAGGATAAATGACCAGGGGTGCAATAGCTAAGTCATATGATAGGTGTGTGCTTATGTTTTTAGGAAACTGCTAAACTATTTTCCAGAGTGTTATATCACTTTACGTTCCTATTAGCAATGGATGAATGTTCCAGTTCTTTGGATCCTTATCAGCATTTGTTTTTTTCACTTTAAAAAAAAAATTTTAGCCCGGCCTGGAGGTTCATTGGTTGAGTGTCAACTCGGGCATCAAGATGTCATGGGTTCGACTTCCGGCAGGGCACATGCCCAGGTTGTGGGCCCGATCCCCAGGGGGGAGCATGCAGAAGGCGGCCAATTAGTGTTCTCTCTCATGGATGTTTCTATCTCTCTCTCCCTCTTCCTTCCTCTCTCTCTAAAAATCAATAGAGAAAAAAAATTAAATAAAAATTTAGCTCTTCTAATAGGTGTGTTATAAGCTCTCATTGTGGTCTTTGCATTTCCCTAATGGCTAGTGGTGTGGAACTTGTTTTCATGTGTTTATTTGGCATCCACATATACTCCTTGGTGAAATATCTCTTCATATCTTTTGCCTATTTTCTTTATCTTTTTCTTTTTTATCCTCACCTGATGACATTTTTGCATTTATCTTTAGATAGAGTGGGAGAGAGAGGGAGGAAGAGAGAGAGAAACATCGATGTGAGAGCGACAGATACATAGACTGGTTGCCACCTGCACTACCCCAATCAAGGCCGGGGACAAACTGCAACTGAGGTACATGCCCTTAGCAGGAACAGAACCAGGGTCTCTCTGGTCCTTAGGCCGACACTCAAACCACTGAGAAAACCGGCTAGGGCTTTTTGCCTATTTTCTAATTGAATTGTTTTTTATTGTTGGGTTTTAAGATTTCTCCGCCCCCATCATTGACCCCCTCCTCCATGTTCCCACTCCTCTTCTGCTTTCCCCAAAATATTGTCTGTGTATATTGGCTATGCGTATATACCTATAAGTTTTTTGGTTTATTGTTGGGAGCCAGTTGGATGTCTGACAGAGTCCACAGAGCCTGGAAGTCTAGAGTCAGAGACTCGACCTCTCCCACAATCTCAAGGAATTAGGCCTGCATTGTGTTTGTGCAGCTCAGGGTTAAGTGTGACCTAATGTACCTTGAAATCCCTGCGATAACAGACTGGGTGTGCCTGGGTGCTCCTGTTATCCTCAAGGCAAACAAATTCTATACAGCATTGTTGTAGCCCCGGGCATTATATCAAGAAGATCCTGCTTTCTTACTCACTAAACTTTTGCTGTAAGGTATAAAAGGCATGTAATAAAGCATATTGAGGCTGATCCTGCTGAGGACAGTCCTCCTGATCCCATATCTGTGTCTTTGTCTTCATTCCCACCGCTGGAACTCAGGGACTCTGCTGTCCAGGCTGGTTCCTGGCACTTTATCTCTTCCCATCCCCCTCACCCTCTTCCCTCTGATGTTTGTCAGTCTGTTCCCTGCTTCCATGTCTCTGGATCTATTTTGTTTTTAATTTATTGATTTTTTAATCCTCACCTGAGGATATTTTTTTCCCATTTATCTTTAGATAGAGTGGGAGGGAGGGGGGAAGAGAGAGAGAAACATCAGCTGGTTGCCTCCCACATGACCCTGACCAGGGCTGGGACTGAACCAAAACCAAGGTGTGTGACCTTGACCGGAATTGAACCTGAGACTATTTGGTCCATGGGCCAACGCTCTAACCGCTGAGGTAAACCAGCCAGGGCTCTGGATCTATTTTGATCGACAGTTTATTTTGTTTAGGATATTCCATAAATAATTAGAACATGTGTTGAGAATTCATTATAGATTCTAGATATTAATCTTTTGTGAGGTTTGTGGTTTTCAAGTACTCAGTGTGTAGCTTGTCTTTTTATTCTTTAATAAGGCCTTTTGACTAGTAAATGTTTTTACTTTTGATGAAGTATAATTTATTGATTTTTTTTTTCTCTCTTATGGATCATGCTTTTGGTATCATGTCTAGGAAGTCTTCACAAAGCTCAAGTTCCTAAAAATTTCTCCTATTATTTCTTCTACAATTGTATAATTTTGCATTTAAATTTATGATCCATTTTTAGTTAATTTTTGCATAAATTATGAAGATTAGGTGGGTAGCTTTTTTTTTAACCTGGGGATATCTAATTTCTCAAGCACCATTTATTGAAAGATTCTTCTTCCTCCATTGAATTGCTTTTGCACCTTTGTCAAAAATCTGTTGGCGGTACTTGTGCAAGACTTTCTGTGTTCCTTATTCCACTGATCTCTGCTTATCCCTTCACCCCAATACCATAAATCTTGCTTACTATATGTAATCAGTCTTAAAATTAGATAGGGCAACTCCTCTCACTTTATTCTTTTTCAAAATTGTTATTCTAGTTCCTTTGCTTTTCTATATAAATTTTAGATTAATATTGTCTGTATCTATGAAAAATCTCAATGGATTTTTATATCAATTAGGGGAGAATTGATATTTTTACTATGTTAAGTCTTCTAATACATAAACATGCTATATCTCTGTTTATTTAAATATTCTTTGATTTCTTGCATCAGCATTTTATAGTTTTAGGCACTCAGGTCTTGTACTTGTTATGTTAAATGTACACTGAAGTATTGCTTTTTGAGCAATTTAAAATTATATTGTACAGTACTTTTAATTGAGTTTCCAAAGTTCATTGCTAGTATATAGATATATAGATATACAACTTTTTTTTTTTTATCCGAGGACATTTCTGCATTTATCTTCAGATACAGTGGGAAGGAGAGAGGGAGAAAGAGCGAGAGAAACATTGATGTGAGAGAGACGCATTGACTGGCTGCCACCCACAAAACCCTATGGGGCTGGGGACAAACTGAAACCGAGGTACATGCCCTTAGCGGGAACCGAACCCGGGTCTCTCTGGTCCATGGGCCGACGCTCTAACTGCTGAGCCAAACCGGCCAGGGCAACGTTTTTTTTAAAAAATGTCCGTCTTATATCCACAACTTTGGTGAATTCACTTGTTAGTTCTAGGAGTTGTTTTATAGATGCCTTCGGATTGTCTTTTCAGACCATGGCATCTGTAAATAGGGACACTTTTATTTTTCTTTCTGATTTATAGACCTTTTATTTCCTTTTCTGCTTAGGGAGAACTTTCTTTACCTGTTCCTTTAGGCTGGGTGAGCTGGTAACAAATTCTTAATTTTCCCTCATCTAAGAATATATTGATTTTCTCTTCATTCCAGAAGAATATTTTTTTTGCTGGATATAGAATTCTGGGTTGAAAGTTCTTTTTCTTTAGC